AATCCTGTCCATAGTACATTCCAGAAGTTGATCAGTTGCTCAGTTTTGGCATAAGCATACTTGTGTGCACTTTGTTTATGTGTGATACAGATTGACAGAAAGCTCTTGTTTGTTGGTGCCATTTAATCTTTTCATTGTTTTTGATATTATCGGGGAAGAATTGCCAATATTATCAGTTTATTTAGCTTCCTTTATCCTCTGGCTAAAATCACAAACTGTGTCTCATTTATTTTATGTCATGCAGGAAAATTCACTGGACAAAGTAATTATGCTTGGAAGAATTAGTGGTAAAAGGAAGCCAGGCTGTCAAAGAACATGGTGGCTGGACACCATCAAAACTGATATCAGCCAGACCATAGAGCAACTTAAAGAAATAGCACAAGATTGGAAGATGTGGAAAGACCTGGCCCATGGAATCATCAAGAGTTGGACATCACTGAATGGATATCATCATCATCATCATCATCATCATCATCATCATCATCATCATCAACAACATTAACATCATCCTCATCATCCTCTGGCTGGCTGGATAGAACAAATAAAATAAGTCTTGAGCCATCAGCCAGCTAAACTGCAGAAGACCAATTCTAATGATGATGTAACATGATGGTACTAAGAAAATGTGGCAAAATTAAACCCAAGACACAAGTAAGATCAGCCAAGATACTTTGGCATGTATTGTGTTTTCTTAAATCTCTAGTTAAATATCTGTGATACATTTGTGAACTTTGGCTGATCCTATTGCAGGGCATAATTCTTGGCAAATATTCCTCTGATGACTGCCTTTGTATGTATGTGTTGTTGATAATGGATCAGATACTGACATTTTGATTACCTATTAACTTCTTGTGTGCATTGAGTTAAATGTGGAGAATGTTATCAGCTCATAAGGAGAGCCATTTATGATGGGTTAATTACAAAGTTTGTATGTACAGTGCATATGAGTCAGCTTTATGTCTGAACTACACTTGGACCTTGATATTGAAGGACAATACAATAAATCATATATTTACATAGGTTTTCCAAAGCATTGCCTCAGCCTAATGAGCTTGTCAAATCAAGTACTTTGTGATTGAATTTTCTGTTCTTTTCATTGATGCATTTACAAAGGACAACAGAAAATGCTGCTTCATGAACTATTTATAAAAGTACCTATATGGTTTTGAAATTGGACTAAGACAGCAACTGTGCTCTAATGTATTGTCCCATCTTGTTCCCTTCCAACTGTGCTACCTGGTATTGGGGCTTGCTTGATTAATATATATTGTTATATTGCTATAACCTCTTTAATAGTTGATATTTGTTAGAATTCCAAAAAGGTTCTATTGACATGCTATTTACATACCGTGCCTCTATTCCTTAGCTCCTTATGGGTTGGGTTAGGAGAAGCAAAAATGGTTGAAATGCTATTTGCACGAAAATAAATTCTTCTGCTCAATAGGTAAACTTTTGTCCTAGCAGACACCACTTTATTCCAATAAAATGAAATCAGCTACTATTGGAACAAATCAACGTGTCATGATCAAAAATACATTACTAATATGCTTTCCCTCTTTATGTTTCTCCTCATCTCAGAAAATGCAGAGACAAAGAATTCACTACTACTATTAAATATTCTGACCACTAATGAATGGAAGCTCAAAATTATGAAAAATTCTAGCTATATTTTGGTTAATGATACGGCTTACCAAAATTGTCATCTGTACAAAATGAGAGAGATAGAACGTACCTCTTACTAACCAGTTCAAATAATGTAAACAGGTGTACAGTGTTGTTGTCTGCTCTCATTTCAACATTTCTTACACAAGTTTCTATATATCCTGGACATAAACTGTTTCAACTGTTTCAACTGTTTCCTACTCTCAAAACGATGCTATAGAGCACTGCACACCAGAACAACTAGACACAAGAACAATTTTTTCCCGAATGTCATTACTCTGCTAAACAAATAATTCCCTCAACACTGTCAAACTATTTACTAAGTCTGCACTACTATTAATTTTCTCATCGTTCCCACCACCCATCTCCTTCCATTTATGACTGTATGACTGTAATTTTGTTGCTTGTATCCTTATGATTTATATTGATACTGTTTCTGGATTGCTTATTTGTACCCTATGACTATCATTAAGTGTTGTACCGTATGATTCTTGATGAACGTATCTTTTCTTTTATGTACACTGAGAGCATATGCACCAAGACAAATTTCTTGTGTGTCCAATCACACTTGGCCAATAAAAAAAAATCTAATTCTAATTCTAATTGTTTCCTCTCCTACCTTGACTGCATGAAAATGAAAAATAAGCATATTTCCAAAAGAAGACAATTCTCTTCATCTTTATCCACTTCTCTTGAGGTTACTATGCAGGGCACATGAACATACAAGTTAGATTAAAATTATATACAAAGAAGCATTGCTTGACCAAGAAAACTGAGTGGAATTTTGCAGAACATTTAACTTATTTCAACAGCCTTCAAAGTATAAATAAAGGATTTAGACACAGGCATCATATTATGATCTTTTTGAATGCATAAGTACCAAATTGCACAAAGCTGATTAAAGGAACAAGGAGTACCTTTTCTTTTTAAAATATGCATATTAGAGGCTGCAGCCATCTGTAAGCATTTCCTGAGAATTGCCTTTCAATTGATTTTCTTAACAGCCAACATTTAACCCTAGGTTAAGTTGGGATTATCTTCTGAAACCCAACTGTTTTAGGTACTTATTAGCAGTGACTGAATAGTCTTTTCTTATGCAACTCCAAAAAGAGCTTCAAAGAAGGAAGTAATGGGTTCTGATTGGAAAACGAAAACAGGTTTTCAACATTTGTTTACTTCCTTATAGAATCATTTGCTACATAATTCCTTCCATCAATACCCCCTCCAAGTTTATTAGTATAATTTGCCTAAAATTCCATTAAAAATTTTCATCCTATGTGGAATACCCATACATATACTTACCCTCCCCTCCAAAAAACCGCTCCATCCAGGGATAAGACAAAAGACAAAATCATAATTACTACAAAATTATTGATTTGACTGAGAATTTTAAGAAATGCTGGGCCATTTTTTGTTAGTAGGACATATTCATATTCAAATGAAGTCAAATGGAATCTGTATATTTAGCAATCTAATTCTTAGTACCAATAACAGTCTGTGATTGTCAAATTATTTTAGAAAAGTTAAATTCTGTTGCTTTAATTTGCCTTTACTAAGCGAAGGATCTAACATGGTACTTACTGGTAGATGTGCATGCAGTATTGCATTTTGCTGTAAGAACAATGGTTGCTCCTGTGGAAAAAGCTGATCTTTAGTTCTATACAGTATCGATTCATAACATGATTTTAGTTATGGGCAGGCAAATTTTTATAAAATATATCCTGGGAATAGCTTCCATTTTGTTGAGCTTTTTCAGTAAATTCTCAGGAGTAAAACTAAGTTTACATCGGTTTTTATGGCCTCAGAAAAATTAAACTTAAGGGAAATCACCCTGAGCCCTCTTTGATCAAGCAAATTACTTTTAAGATGGAGAAATGACAATGGAGAGATGGTCCAAATTAGGATAGGTTGTTGCTGAATCAGGGTATCCACTTTGTGGCTTGTTGTTGTTTCTTCCAAACTCAATGAATTCATTAACAAGCACTCACTGAAAACTGCTTCAACTCTGCATTTGCGTTACTTGTGTATAGCTAATATAAGATCATTCTGGTGTGTCCTCTATGGATCTTTAGACTATTGTGTGCTAGTAGGCATTAAAATGTTCCAAAGTAGTCTGTCTAATCTGATGTAGACCAGCTTTTCCTTATTAACAGAGAATACTGTTGTTGGTCTAGGAGTCTCATCTTGAGTTACAGTTTAGAAACCCAGACTTAGATTAATGAATCATACATTTCATTTTTTTTTAATTTAAATCTTCAACCTTTCATGTGTGCGTCCTCTCATAATTGGATCTATTCCATTTATTAGTTTGAGGTTCACATTCTGGTATCAATAAATCTAAAAACTGATTTAAAAAACTAAGGAATGAAATATAGCAGCATGAATAAACACATGGCTTAATTTATACTGGTCAGAGATAATCTTTTTGCACTGTTTTCTGCATCAATTCTCATTAAATTTGAGGAAACAAAGTTTACAGTGAAATCCTCATGAACAGAAAGTGGTATTCTTGTATTTATTTATTAAGTGGCAAAGAGGGTGGTTGGATATTTTATTTTTCATTGGCAGTCATTTGTCAGGATCTCTGATTCTGATCCTCCATTAAATCCAACAGAAGATACCATGAAGGAATTCCTGTCATTGGGCACTTTCAGTTGTCGTGCTACTGTTGGAAGAAACATCCTTCTGGGTTCTGCTCCAAGTGGGGAAACAGACACTGGAAACATGGAGACTGCTTGGAAAGATGGTTTAATGGTGGACAGGATCACATGGCTTGAGTTCCTGAACAGAAAAAAAGGGCAGATACAGTAAATCCTCGGGTTTTTATGCTCTCTCTGGCTCTGCATTTCTTGGGGCCCCAAAAGAGTATCCTGATTGGTTGTCAGACTCCCAGGGGGTGGGGGTCTTGCTGGCTGATGGTCACATGTGCTTCCCAGGTCACATGTGGTGAGTCTCTGCTGCTATTGTGTAGAGGGCTAATCCTATCTTTGGCAATTCCTACTATGGCTCTGCCTGAAGGAGGCAGATCTTTGTTATGTAGAATAGACTGGCCCAGGCCTTAATGGCCCATTGACAAAGGGTGGGGGGCAGGAAGGTGGGAGCTGCTTTGTCTGTAAAATATGCTTCTCATATTTCTCATCCAGGGAAATATAATATTCTGCCTTTTTCATATTTCCTAAAATATTTCACTCTTCCAGGAGAGGGGTGGGTGCTAACTTCCTACACTACCATGGGAATTCTGACCTTAAGAAATATTTTGAGAATTTCTCCTTTCCCTGTAGAACTTTGGAGAAATTGTTTATCTAATTTGTCCACGGATTTGGTGAAAAAATTTCTACCTTGTAGCAGAGCAGAATCCATTTCAGCTGAAAATAGCTTATTGAATCATGCTCAGGAATATGTTAGCCAACTGCTGGCTCTTTCTGTTTTCCATTCCCGAATCTATTCCATTCCATTCCATTTCAATCCAGTTCAGTCCAGTCCAACCCGGTTCAGTCCTGTCCTTATTGCAGGGACTGGGAAAAGAAAGAAATGGAAGAGAGTTATTGTGATTTGGGAATTGGTTGTGACTGTCTCAGGTAGCTGGAAAAATGATGAAAAAATGGAATAGCAGTAATTTTAAAAATAAAATGCAAGGAGAAGAAGGAAGGTTGAAATAATACTTCTTGGGAAGAACCAGTGGTGGAATTCAATTTTTTTTACTACCGGTTCTGTGGGCGTGGCTTGGTGGGCGTGGCATGGCTTGGTGGGCATGGCAGGGGAAGGATACTCAAAATCTCCATTCCCACCCACTGCAGGGGAAGGATATTGCAAAATCTCCATTCCCTCCCCACTTCAGGGGAAGGATACTGCAAAATCCCCATTCCCATCCCATTCTGGGGCCAGCCAGAGGTGGTATTTGCCGGTTCTCTGAACTACTCAAAATTTCTGCTACCGGTTCTCCAGAACCTGTCAGAACCTGCTGAATTTCATCTCTGGGAAGAACTCAATATGTATGAAGGTCAACACCAGCTAAGGAACTACTAGCTGTGGCTTCACAAAGTTGTGAACTGATGATGATGATGATGATGATGATGGTGATGATGATGATGATGATGATGATGATGATGATGATGATGATAATGTACTATAGCAAAAAAACTCTTGGATACTACTTAGAAAATCTGTGCATTGGCAAAATCTATCCATGCTGGTTCAGGAATTCTGGGAGTTGAAGTCCATGAGTTATAAAGAGGCCATAGTTTCCCACCTCTGTCCAAGTCCCTGGGAAGAACTTGATGGGTATGAAAGTCAATACCAGTTAAAGAACTGGCAGCTGTGATTTCATATTCATAGGTTGTAATAGCCTATATCCAGGTCCTTGGGAAGGATTCAATAGAGTGATAAAAATGCCAAAGCCAGTCTAAACATCTGTCTGACTGGGCAGCCAACCATAATAATAAAGTTTTCCCCCCCCTGGAATTTGAAGCAACTACATTTGATTTGTAAGACAGATATTATACTAGCACTCAGGGTAAGACGAGTTCTAAAAGGTAAGACGTGGCTTGGTTGAAGGGCTATTTCTTTCTCTGCAAAGTTACCAATGGTTTTGCAAAGAAACAAAGTGCTCCAGCTGAAATGGACAGGTGTACCAGAAGTGACACGAAAGGGGAAGCCTGCTTTAAAACTGCAAAATGAAAAGATGCAGCATTTGTGATGGGAAATGAGTGAGTAAAGACTGACCTTGCCCATTTCTGCCTGATTGCTGTTCTATTGTGCAGTTTGTTTTTCTAGTCTGGTAATGGGGCAACCATCCAGGGCAGATTAGCCCTGAAGGTGTCCGTCTTAAACAGTGGTGCAATTCAAATAATTTAACAACTGGTTCACTGCCCTAATGACAGGCTGGGTGGGTGTGGCCATGATGGGCGTGGCCACTGGGTGTGACAGGCAGGACCGCCTCCTGCATCCCTCTGGGAGCAAAAACAGCCCACGGGGGGACACACACATCCCCGTGCCCTGTTTTGGGCCTAGTAGGCCTCCCTGCAGCTGCCTGGGAGCAAAAATGGGACACAGGGGAGCTGCAGTGCACCCCCTGAACCCCATTTTTGGCCTAGTATGCCTCCTTGCATTTACCTGGAGCCAAAATGGGGCACATGGGGACTCCTGGAAGGGGAGGGATAGGGCCACCCACCAATTTAACAACTGGTTCATGTGAACTGCCTGAACTGGTTGAATCCCACCACTGGCCTTAAGTGAACACTCATCCCAACAGTAACATCTATCTTTCAGGATCAGTCTGTTTGCTAGTCACCACATGAAATTTGCTTGAAATAGCCTTTCACAGTGACTGCTTTCAGAATAAATTATAGAGGCTGATGGGGAACTGATTGACATTCTCCATGGAAAGATGGCAATACCCATATCACAATGTTACTTAGAGAAATAGGTGGTCATGTATCAGTGAGGGAATCTAATATTTATTGACTATTTGTATTTCATACTCAAATAAGTTTCAGGAGGTTCTGCATTCATGTAGTTTATCAACTTGAATCTCCTTAAGCTTCAGCAGCAGCAGCAGAACCTCCAGATCCAAACGTGGGTTTGCCTAATGCAGCTAATTAGACAAGATGCTCATACCAACCCCTTTAACAGCTAAATAAACCTATGATTCTATTAAGAAAAGTGGACTTTGAATAGCTGCACCCTGTCAAAGTCAGTATATTTTTGATGGTGAAAAAGTCTGTTTGGCTCTGTTGCTGGCAAGCCAGAGTGCACTTTCCCCCTTAGGTCTCATTTCATAAACACCTCCTGGGTGTAAGTACAATGAGTGCATTATGCACTGGAGTTCAGGGACCTTCCCCCAAAGAGAATCAGGTTGGAGGGTCGAGGCTGCAGTTGAGCTCTGTTCATTGGAGCAGCAGGGCCAAGATGAGCATTCAAATATCTAAATATTTAGACCAAGAGATGCACATTAAAACCACTTAGAAATAAATACAAGTTTCTGAAAATAGAAGCCTCCGCAATGACATCAGGAGCTGTTTATCTTCAAGAACTGTGGGAATGGGCTCAAATAATGAAATATTTCATTTAAGAGAAAAGGGGGAGGGAAGGAGCAAACCAACCTCAGATGGAGTTTTGACATTTATTTTGACATAAGCCATCTGGTCATGCTGAGTGTATGGATAGTTCTGTTTGCCACAATCCAGACGTTACCTTCATGCCAAATACACTGAGTACTTGGAGATTCATTTCTCACTGGTGCATGATTTCAGCAGCCACATGAAGATAATTCAGCCCCTAAATTACATGTCATTTATTGCCATTAATGTTTGCAAAACTCAGTGGCCAACAGATGGAGTCTTTCCAAAATAGGGTTCTCTTTTGTTTTGCTTTTGCTTAATAGGGTTGATACATGGGCCTACATTTTCCATGCATAGAGATACTTTGAGATGTTTGGGAAGATTGGATCCTTATTTCATTGCCCTTTACAGCTGCTGGACTCTGATTCCCACAGAAGTGGTATCCTGCCAGCACAAGGAATGGCTCCTGAAGCAATAGAAACCAAGATTATGAGAAGCGGATCCAGATATAGGAGAGACATCTGAACTAGACATTGTAAGAAGAGAACCATGTTGGTCTATGATGACAAAATATAAGAAGGAATAATTAAACACTTGCGCTTTTTAATAAGACATGTTAGTTATAAAAAGTGCTACCAGACTCATTCTGATTCTGGTCTAGAATATTTACTTGCATAAAAGGGAGGGTTTGTGATTCAGTGGAAGAGAACACACTTTGTGTGAAGAAATTCTGGTTCCATCCCTAGAATTTTTAAAGGCATGTGCAGAAAAGAGAGAGGGGGGAGGGTAATAGGGAGAGGAATTATGAGATCCATTGCAGGAAAAGAAAACCTTGAATATTGCCAAAAGATAGATTTTACCCCCCAGAATGTTCTGGATCCTTTATCATAGCACACTAAAATAAATGGAAAACAGGGTCAGTGCTAATGTTTGTCTGTTTATTGAGTAGCATGCACAACATTTGGGCCAAAGGACCACCCGGGCTTTTTAATAATTGCCAAGACTCAAATCCCTAAAGTGAGCAGTGCCACAATGAAATTTATGCTTGATTTAATTTAAACATTAATCAAAATGAAAATAATTAAGTACCATTAACACAATTGTTACACAGAGTACACTTAATCCTTTCTTCTTCTATCATGTTAAAAGTTACAAAGCTGCAGCAACTTTGCCAGCAAAATGGGTAGAGAATCATTCTGGCTTGCCCTAGATCTGATCATATGAACGCTGACCAGGATCCAAACAATACTCATCTTTTCCTATTCATTTTCAGTTTGGGATTGTACAGATTATAAATTCAGGCAACATTTTCCCAGAATACTTTTTTCCCCTGACGGAAAAAAACAACAACTGAGATACTATTCTACCTTATTTCCCAGGAATAGCACCACTTCATAACATTTCTCTGGAAATTTCTCTTTCTTTTTGATGTTGGTCATTGCTGTTATGCCCCCAAATGACTCCATCCATCCAAGCCATAATGGTGCCATTTATATTAGCCGAGCTGCCTATACAGTCAATACTGTTTTACTTGTAGCAGCTGTGAAGGAAAAATTTCTGATGCACAGTAATAAATTGTATTTCTGCCATAGCTAATGGTGAGCCATGAAATTTTCTCTTGGAGAGCTGTGGTGAATTGATGTTTCTGCCCTTAATGTTTCTGCCCACAAGTAGTGCAGGATGGAGAATATCTGTATTTTTAGTATTCAGTACTCAATTCAAACAAGCCCAGAAAGTGAACTTTCGGAGATATTATGTAGGAAGTCAGTGGGGGCTTGTTTTTAACAGCCAGGACTGCTCACTGTAGCGTGATGATAGGGAGTCTGATTACATAAGGCAGCATGTTTTGTTTTGTAGCTTAAAATCAGAAAGTTCATGGCTTCCAGTTTGTTCTCAGCATCCATACAGATTTGGGTTCTGTTGAGTAAGCCAAACATTTGCACCCTGTGATTATAAGAATGTTGCAACCACTTCTTCCTGTGGAATATCATTTGATGACCGCACCCAATCTGGAAAAGCTTTCCTTGGCCAGGAGGACTTATAATCATAGAGGGTGACGTGATGAGTTGCTTTATGCTTGGAGGCCTTGGCTGTGTCCTGGGAAACTTTATAGCTCTGAAGGCATATTAAATATGAATCTATGAATCTACTTGGAACTAAATCTCTCTCTCTCTCTCTCTCTCTCTCTCTCTCTCTCTCTCTCTCTCTTCTTTCTCTCTCTCTCTCTCTGTGTGTGTGTGTGTGTGTGTGTATGTATGTATGTATGTATGTATGTATGTATGTATGTATGTATGTTATATGTTATTTTTCTCTCAGCCAGGTTTTTGCTACGTAAATCAAGATCTTTATACAGCCATAGTTCAGTGAAATCTCATTCACTAGTTTCTAGGCTTTATCAGACATCAAACCAGCATTTTGCTGTCTGTTTTGAGATGTCTGATAAAGCCTAGAAACTA